AATCGAGTTAGTAATTAATAAAATATTTCTCCATTTCTCCCTTTCGGTCCACTTAGCGATAACTTTTGGGTCTTGTAATTGGATGTTCCTAAAAGAAGCAAGGGTAATTAACAATATATTCTCAAGTCTATTCCAATTCATGGCTCTGCATACAACCTCATGTAGTGTGGATTTGCTAAATCTGAAATAATCGATCTCTACTGTAGGCGCTCGCACTCACATTATATAAGGTAGATTATCGTATTGGATTGCACAAACTCCATACAAATCAGCCATAACCCTCAACCAAAGACCCCAACGTGCTAGGACAAAGCAAAATTACATGCGGCGTTTGTATAATTCTTTGGAATTTATCAGTATTTCTGTAGATCTGACTGAACATAAAATCGCATTCTCTATATCACCGCATTCGCGATCTGTACTGTTCTTTTCGGGCAGTAGTATAAACATTGGCGACCTCTTTCACATTCCTGTTGGGTTCCCCTCTCCTGAGTGAACCTAAGTCCTGCCTTATCTCAAGCGACTCTTTTACCAACTCCTTCAAATAAGGATATATTTTACGCCATCTATGTGCCTCCACCGCATTAAATTAACCTTATAGACGTTCTTTTGACCGTACGTATCAATTTTGTAGTGTTAAAATCTACGATCCTTGATTTGGTCATCTTTTCAATCTACATCCGTCTGTATTGGAAAATGTAAGTTCAAAGATCTCTCAGGTTCCTAAATCCTGGCAAGCACTCGAAGGAAGACTTTGAATATGGAAATACTTGGTCTTTTGTTGAGGTGCATGCATGTGATTGTTTGTCTTACTGTCAGATCTCTGTCTGATTCTTATGCTGTAATGATTCTTAGGCCAAGAGCTGACTTTGATGCCGAGACTCTTAGATGCACAAGATTCCTTGGAAAATTTCCTTGCCTGTGAAGTCAAATGCAGTAAGGTCAGAGATATCTCTGATAAATTAAGGCAAGTGGTCCAAAACATAAGTTCTCATATATACCGCCAGTTGGCAGTTTTTCAGCGAGGGACAACGTGGAGACAATTTTTTGTGGACGGTCTACGGTAGCAGTTAGATCTGGACGTCTCTCAACTTCATCTTGAACGAAACTTTGGAGCTTTCCGTTCGGTTGGTGGCGACTTGTTTGATCGGACTCATTGTTGTTGTGTGGATTACTAAATAACAGTGTCTATTCCGACCGCTTCGTGCTCATTCTGTTACGTTCTTCCTGTGCTCCTGTCATAATTAATTACTAGCTACTAGACTTATTTACACGGGAGTAAGGCTCATAGCTTTCACGTTGACTCAGTAGATTCTGTTTTTCTAGCCCAACTTAATTTTAAGTCAACCAACCTAGCTAGGTTGAAGCTTGTATTCTGGTCAGAAGGTTGAAGCTTGACGTCAGATGTGAGAGTTCATAAATCTAGACAATAACCATCCTTTGCAATCCATTTTGTTTCATCTCTAAAGTAACAAACATCATTATCATCTATGGAAGCTGAGGTTAGTTTTTCTTCAACCTTAGGACTGTACTAGACTGATTTCGGCTTGGGCCGCATGAGGAAATCACATTACAGGTAAAACCGCGGAGACGTCTTTCGTGGCCTAAGTAAATTCAGTATGGGACAGGCTAAATTGAAGCATCTTCTATGGAAGCAAAGCTTACCATGAGTTGTAGTATACGCTACTGTTGGGGATTCGTCCTATCGACAACCTGTCAAATGAACCCTCTCGTGGAACGTGCCCTCCAGATCTTGTGTTGAAAGAAGGCAAGAAGAAATCACAGTAAATAAAAGAAAACTTTGCAAGGAAAAAAATAGAAGAGAGAACACTAAAATTTTAACGAGGTCCGGCAACTTGCCTACGTCCTCGGTGTAGAATTGGAGGCGAATGCAACGAAGCTCAGGAAAATTAAAGCAGAAAACATTTTGGATGTTTCACGGTCGACCGCGAGTGACGCTGCGGTCGATCGCGAACATGCACATAGCTTGAAAAAGTCTCTGGACTTTTCACGGTCTACCGCGAGTGGATTCACGGTCGATCACGATTCCCTGTAGTATATTTTTTTGTTCTCTGTTGTTGGCCACAGTCTACCGCGATGTGGTTTTTTGCCTGGGCTTGGTTTCCTGTTCTATTTGGGTTTCCTGTTTATATAAATGGGAACACGATTTGTTTAGGGTTCATTGGATCATATTGATCACTTTTGGGTAGCTTGAAGGAGATTTTGAGCACAGAAAAGAGAGTTTTTTCTGAGCAATTTGTTTGAAAGTTTAAGTTTGTGAGATTTGAGAGATTTGTTTGAGAGGTTAGTTGAGTGATCTTGAAATCTTTATTTTATACTCTCTTTCTCTATAGTGAAAACCCATCCCCTTCTTGCCCCGTGGACGTAGGCAATTTGCCGAACCACGTTAAACTTTTGTGTTTGAGTTTGTGTCGTTATTGTTTGATTTGAGTTGTCTTCTCTCTTGGTGTTTGGTTTGGCTTCCACCGTGCACAACACCAAGAACAAAGTAAACACATAAAAGGAAAAGGAAAAAAAGGAAAATATCATGACACTACTTATATATAGTGACTTAGCATGGCAATACACTAGCTGAACATAATTTTTCCTTCTCAGACACTCAGAGCTACAACATGCTCACAAGAATTTTCCCTCTAAAAGAGTTTTTAAGTGGCCAGATCAAGATGCTCTCCTAGCACAACTCAAGCTCGTTCTCTAAACTGCTAGATGAGATTTTAAAATCAAATTCTGAAATATCGAACAAATCTGGAAGTGTCAAGCATTCTTCTAACTCAATCCAGAATTTGTTCTCTTCGTCAAATTTCTTACTGCATGAAAAGGATGGTGATGAGATTTTTGGATTGCTATCCGTTTGTGAGGAAGCAGTAGAACTAGTGTTCGTGTATTCTGGGTCTTGTTCTTTCAACATCAGGCATTCTTCGAAATCAATTAAGACCATCTTGCTGTTTTCACTAGAAGTGTTACCTTGATCACACACTGATTTGGATGAATTTGATACTTTTTTAGGTTTTTTGCATGAGGGTTTGGATCCTTTGGACTTAAATCGCTTCTTCAAGTGGGAGTTCCACACGTTTTTTATCTCATTATCGGTTCTTCCAGGGAGGCAAGCTGCAATCTTAGACCACCTGAAATCAGACCACCTCTAATAATCAGTACAAAACTAAAAACCAATTTATATGTTTTCTAATTATAGCAGATGCCCCCTTTGATATTATGATAACATTAAAATAATGTTGTCCTGAGCGCAGAACGTGTATGTGCTAATAAAATAGATCATAATTACTGATAAATAGTTACATACATACTCATAATACTAGAGATGTAGGTGAGATATAAATAGAGTTCATAAATAGAGTGCAGGAACTAACTTGTTTCCGAGCAGTCCATGTAGCCTTATAATCATCTCCTCTTCCTCTTTGCTTATGTTGCCGCGTTTCAAGCCAGGGCGAAGATAATTTATCCATCTCAAGCGACAACTCTTCCCACAACGTGCTAACCCTGAAATCAAGACGTAAATTGCAATTTGTATGAGATATAAATAAACAAAAACATAAGCACATTATGTAGTAATGTTGTGAACCTGCATATTTGGGAAGATTTCGCCAGTTTCCATGTCCGTATTTATGTATGTACGTGACGAGTCTCAAGTCCTCTTCTGGTGTCCATGCGCCCTTCTTCAGGCCACCCATTGTACTGCAGGATTTATGAGGAGAACAATATTGAGGATTACAGAGTGGTAGTGCTTCCAATGACTAGAGAAGCTTTAACACACACAACGTTATTGATGCCGACTACTCTTTTGTGTTGACATGTTGATTTATATGTGAGATGAAGAGGGAAAGGACAAAGTCTGAAATGAGTCGTGCAACACACTTTGAGATTCTTTGTTGACTAAAATCATGTTTTTACTAGGATTAATTAAAATAATAGTGTAAAGTATCACACCAGAGCATTGCATTGTGTATTTGCCTTGGTCTTATTGAACTATTTGTTCTTTGGGACAACAACAAGCTAGTAATAACCAGGAAATTGTCATTGGCTTGGGAATGAATATATTTACTCGTGGTTAAATGGATTTTAGTGACAGTGTAAAGGATAATGGAAACTAAATTTATACAACGGAAAAGAACTATATAAACAACCAATATTTACACAATCCTTTGCTCATTGTGTATCCTGGGGCCTGGGGGTCTAGGTTAGGTTAGGTTTTGTTAAGTTTGAGCAGATCACAGCTGTCCTTTTTTTACTTTACTTTTTATTTATGGATCTTTTTAAGTTTTTACTTCACTCCTGCTACCCCAAAGTAAGAAAACCCCTATTCTCTAATGGCCTGATACGTGTGGCATCTGTTTTTGTACGTATTTGTTTTTATTCTAATTTAAAATATTTTTGCCAGCTTGATAACAAGCAGAACCTCATACAGGGAGTCTATAGTGACAACGATGACGTTGCGTCTCTTCCAACATGAATCATGTGATTTTAACTCATGGGAGTTCCATATTTATATTTAGTTCTGGTGGAAATTTCAACTGTGATTCTTCCTGTGGACCTGTACTAGTATTATTAAGCACTGAACTTGTCGATTGAAATTTCACATAACACTACTTTCAGAGAGAGGACAAGGCTAACATGCTTGAAACCACATTAAGTTAATTGAATTAATATTTTTGCACTAATATGAGTTTCAAAAATTATTTAACTGTCTCTACCTCTAATCATCTTTTCAACATAAAACTACGTTCCATTTTACAAGTTTACTAGATCAAACCTCACATCCCAAACTAAATGGAACTAACAATATTTACCCCATCGTACTCCTCTTGCACTTGAATCAAATCAGGATTCATATAATCTTTTCTCTTCTATGTTTATGCTTATTGAATTCATGTATAAGTAGATAATCATAGTAAATATCATGTATAGAACCATTAGTCTGAGTTCTTTCTTTATATATCTACGTACGCATTATCATCACTTGCATCATCTTTCATGTATCTTTGTCTGCTTGGTTTGATTAAGAGTACTTGGTATGCAAACATAGTTATATGCTTGTTCAAGTTTTAATTAGTCCTTTGAAATTTTGGCCGGTTGTGACATTTTGTGGTGTAATATTTTGGGATGTTTCGTTAAACTCTTCTTAGTGGGACTCAGGGTATTCTGTTTCGCTTCAAAAAAAAAAAGGCACTAGCTGTCCTCCATCTTCAAATTATCTAGCAAACGACGAGACATTCTAATCATAGTCAAGATTTTCTGCCTCGCGGATCCTTGAAATTCTGAAACTAATTAGATCCTATCAAAATTAATTATTTACTGAATGCCAAAGTTTTGCGTGGCACGAAACTATATATATATGCTTTGTAATATAATTCTTATCCTCTTCCTGACATGAGAAGCCTGTGTTTAGTCAATATTGGAATAATTGTAATCATATAGGTCTGAAGAACATGGAATTTTATTTTCATGTGCTCAGCTTTTTAGGACTCCTTTTTTGTCAACATGCTAACATTTGTGTTGCATGCTACTCTCTGCAAAGAGCTAAGAGCCATGTGCCTACTGAGCTTAAACGGACAAATTTTCAAAACCAACCTATTTGGACTTTTATTCCCAAAAAAAGACCCGTTTCACATTTAT